TACCGTTAGTAACGATACCACAGCTACCGTTAGTAACGATACCACAGATACTATTAGCTCTATACTATTTGATGCGAATTACTATAAATGTGATTTAGGTGTTAATTAAAAATAGTAAAATATTATTCATGTTAAGGTTTGTCATAATAACTTTATTAAGTTGGTCTTGATCAGGATATCACTTGTGTTATTAACGGTTCATTCTAATGACTTCATATTTAATACAGAAAAACTTATCTGTGATATTAACTCTTACCATTTTCAAACTCCGGCTCATCAGCAGCTTCCTCTTCCTCCTCTTCCTCCTCCGGCTGCTTTATGACGACTACAAACACACACATTGATTTCATTAATGACAACTAGAACTCATATTTAATGAAATAAGTTAGATCAATAGAGGATCAATACACGATCAATACCTCTCTCCATGCTCTGTGGGACGACTCCTCTCTGGTCCTTGATGGGCAGCAGGTGGATCACCTCCTTCTCCTCTGTCCTCCTCATCTTCCTGGGAACCTTCTCGTAGCCCCGGACCACCTCAGAGCTCCTTTTCTTAGCACCGTGCACCGGACCGCTGAGACGCCCCACCGCCCGAAACAAGCACACCTCAGTCTGACTGCCTTTGATCATCACCTGTGATTCCTACATATGTGTGTGTGTGTGTGTTACCATGATGACAGGTCTCTGGTGATGAAGGAGGCGTGGCGAGCCATGGCGGCCATCTGCTGCACATCGTCCTCCTCCATCATGTCCATGGGGAGACTCTCCAGAAACTCCTCGTCCTGCTCCTCCTCTGTGAGAGACATGATCAGGTGAGAACAGGCCCAGAGCAGTGCATTGTGGGAGACAGGGTAGGTAATTAACATATTTTTTTGGGGACAATTTTTGCCCCCACTGACTGAAATCCAGGGCATTTTCAAAAAATTGTTGGCACTTTTTGAAACTTGTGAAATAACATTTAACCTTTGTTCAAAATAATAAATATACTTATTTAGGCTTACAATATATGAGCAATTGTCATCAAATGGCAATAATAAGACTATTAGCAGTAGTCTACAGATTCAAAGTGTTTTCTTAGATTTTTTTAACAAAAAACAAACATAAATCAGACAATCATATTCAAATTTATTCTTATTTCTTTGTGGTTATTTATTGTTATTATTAAATTTTTCAAACAACTATTAACAATTATTAAGTCAACGATGCCTTGATTACACATATATCAGTCATTGTATGGAATTATTGAGAAAGATATTTTTGTAGCACCTCAAATATTGTGATATTACCCATTTTTGTCCTGAACATCTGCATTAGTCATTGTGTGGACTTTTTGAGAAAAACATTTTTATAGCACCTTAAAAATTTAAAAAATGTGCCATTTGAAGGTCCAAATTCAGTTCAGTTTTTGCTTAGTAAAATATCTTAATTGACTGTCAGTCAGGTATTATTCATTTCCAGCAACCCTCAAATCAAAGAATAAAGACACTTTACGCACAATTTAGGTGTATTTTCCCTTTAACTCACGAGATGTAGCATGTTTTATACTTAATGTGAATATAATTCATACTTTCTTGGCATCTTATTCTGAAAACCGGATGTTCGTCTGAAGAAACCGGATGTTGTCTCACGTTAATCTTTCCGTTAACTTTCAAAGTCCTTCGCTCGCTCCCGATCTGTGCCGTTTGAATGCGTTTACCGTGAATGTCAGCATATAGGTGCACTAACATGTAAGTGTCTGCTGAGTTGACCGCAGTCTCGCAGTCACAGGTCTGATTATTAAGAAGCGCTCCATTTATTTATTAGTTTAGAAAGTTCATTTATTTATTAGTTTAGAAAGTTCGGGGGCATTTTTTGCCCCTCTCCTAGTGATATCAGGGGCAAAATTATATTTCTTAGGTGCAGTTTTGCCCTTTGCCCTCGTGTATTTCCGACGCTGGTGGGAGAACCTCCTCACCGGGGCTCTTCCTGTACGTCTCCAGTGGGCGGGGCGTCCTGATGACTGCGTCCTTCACCGCCGCTCTCAGCTTCTTCTGCTCTTTACGTTGTTTCTTAGCGACGTTCTGCTGCTTCATCTGTCGGTTCTTCATCTTGTTCTCCAGCTTCACGCCGCTCGTCTTCAACAGACGGCGGAACGTCGGGCGACGCTTCTTAGAACGGGGCTGGGGGAGGAGGAGGAAGAGGATGGGTGAGGGGGGCAGAGATTAATATTTCTGATATGTTTTTCATCTTTATTTATGAAATTATCTGAGGACATCAGACTGGTCCTTGTCTGTGATTGGTTCAGATGATTTAAGCCCCGCCCCTTTATGTGAATGTGTCATAACCAGATTGATAAACTTGATTGATTAACGAGTAGATAACCAGCTTCACAGGATCAGGTTTAACTAAACCTGATGAGTTGATCTCTCTCCCACAATGCTTTGCAGTTTATGTTGCTCATGTTTCTTCTTAAGTAAATAAAACAGCTGACTGTGTTTATTCTATCCTGAGTAATAAACACAACACTACATTTATTATATTATTCATATTATATTTCATTTATTTTATAAACTTCTTGTGTGTCATTTGTGTAACTAAGAGTCTTTAAAATGTCCAAAAAAAAACATTGAAGTTATTTTTCAGTTAGGTTTAGTCTGAATTCATCAGAGTCCTTTAATCTAATATCTCTGATCAATAATCAACAATCACAGCTGACGTCATCAACTCATTAATAACAACACGCGCCGATGTCCCGTTAACGCTTCACGTTCATCACGTGTTTGTGTCTCTGTGAGCTCCAGAACGTTAAAGCCTCGGTTCTGTCTCCGGAGTGTGGTGTCAGACCGTAAAGACTTTAACGGGCTCTACCTCACCGTAACGTGCTCATTTAACAGTGATTTAACGGTTCTCCGGTGTGAACTTACCGGACCCATGGCGGCAGATACTCTCCGTCTCACTCCGCAGCTTCAGGCCGAACTTTGACCAACTTCTCCGGTGTGTGTTAACTAAACGTGTCGCTGTGTTTTGGTGGAATAGCTGCAGCTTGTTCCCACACGCGTGCTGACCGGAAGTCCGGGTTCAGACCGACAACCCGGAAGTACTCGAGCAGACTGACGGTGAGCAGCGCCCCCAGCGGTCGGAGGTCCGATTACAGGAAACAGACAACCGTTTATATTAGATTTATTAAGTCATAACGTAATAAATATGATAAAACATGTAGATACAGTCTGAAGCTCAACAGGTGGTTTAACAACATACAAATACTTTTTACTTTACAGGTGTGACAATAATTAATGTTGAGTTATTAGAGTTATTGATTCGTTATGAACTAAATAAACGAAAATGAAACAGCTGAGAATAAACACTTCAATAATACAAATTTAAATAATAAAAATAAAAATGACTAAGTTTGTTCGTCGACTCAGAAACAGACCCATAAAAACATGTTTTGATTTCAAAAGAACATTAAATATGGTTTCACATTTTGTTTCAGTGTTCTTGTGCTATGGAGGCCTAAAGCTGCAGAAATCATACATGAATAAGTACTTAATGGCAGGCTAATTTAAAAAATGAATAAATATCCTCAGAAATAGAAAAATAAACAAAGAAAATGTATTAAATAATTTACTTTTTTATTAATCTATTTTCATATTTAATTTTCCAATTTATTCGTTTCTGTTTACATTTATTTATTGATTAATTCCCTTATCTATTTATATTTACATGTAATATATCTATATATGTAATATATGCTCAACCCACTTAAATTATTGTCGAATTAACCTGCACATTTATTAATAACTGAGGCTTTTATTTCTTTATTTCTCATAACAGCTTTAGTCCTTCAGTTCATATTTTAATGTTTTATTACAGAAACAAATAAAGATCAATTAATGAACAGTGACATCATGTTGAGTAGATGAAGTAATAATGATAATAATAATAATAACAATAATAATAATAATTAAAACAATAAGAAGAAGATCAGCTGCTCCTCTCTGAGTCTCTGCAGGATGACAAAACCTGAGACAGAAAAACAAAATAGGTTTTTATTTATTGTTATTATTCTTATTTATTCCCGTCAGCTGACTCACCTGAGTCCACTTCCTGTTCCCGCTCAGCATGGGCGTGGCCAAGATGCAGGAGAACAGCCTATCAGAGAGCAGCTCCTTATTGGGGAGGCGGGACAGGAACTGAGCTGGAGGAAGAGGAAGAAGAAGAGGAGAGAGGAAGAAGAAGAGGAAGAGGAGGAGAGAGGAAGAAGAAGAGGAGGAGGAAGAGGAATAGGAGGAGAGAGGAAGAAGAGGAGGAGGAAGAGGGAGGAAGAAGAAGGAGGAGAGAGGAAGAAGGTGGAGGAGGAGAGAGGAAGAAGAGGGGGAGGAAGAGGAGGAAGGAGGATGAGGAGGAGGAGAGAGATAGAAGAAGAGGAGGAAGAGGACAGGTTCAGGTTAAACCTGGATGGCTGCAAGTGTTTCCTGATCTCAGGTGAGGCGATGACTCACCGATGCTGATCAGGTCCATGTGCAGCAGGACGTCCTGGTGGAGCCTCAGGATCCCTAAAGCAGTCCTGAACAGGAACTCCTCCCCGTCCCGGAAGAAGACGTCCCAAACTCTGCAGGCCACGTCCAGGGGGAGGGGCTTCATGTAGAGGGACAGGATCCTGGAGAGCGGGGGCAGGGTTTAGAAGATCTTTGTGCTAAGCTACGCTAGCAGTTTACCTGGACTCTACCTGAGGTGTGACTCACCAGTCCATGAGGTAGAGGTCTGGAGTCACACCTGAAGACTGGAAGTGAAGGAAGAGACGAGGAAGAGTCTCCTGGAAGAACACCTGGAAGGTCCCGAAATACCTGAGCATCTAAAGAAAGAGAGAGAGACAGAGAGACAGAGACAGATTTTTTTATTTTTAGAAAACATTTATTTTCTTTGAACATGTTTCTTTATCAGTTAAAACGGTTAACCAAATAAAGTCCAACAAACATAAATGTGTCTTTGATTGTCTTTAGACTGTGAGATCTTTTCCTCACTGAGCTCCATCTTTGTCCACTTTGTGAACTATCTTCTTCAGTCTGAAGCCTTCCTGCTTCATGAGACCTCCTCTGTCCTTGCTTCTCATGTGAGCTCTGGCAGAGCTGGAGAGCTTCTCTTTGTCAGAGAGGTAGTCCTCCACTTTGGCTCCTCTCACATTCTTACTCCTCTTCAGAAACTCCTTTATCTTCTCCACGCTGTAGTCTCCAGAGCTCCTACAGCTGCCAGCACCATGTTTAGAGGGCTCACTGTCAGCAGCAGCGCCCTCCTCCTGACTGGACTCAGAGTCCTCTTCCATACTGGACTCAGAGTCCTCTTCCATACTGGACTCACACTCTGCCGCTCCACTTTCATCATGGTGGGAACACTGTTACCTTCATTGCCGGTGTGCAGAGAGGGTAAACGGGGAAGAAGTTATCGCCCACCTCGATTCCGTTGTCAATCACCACTTCCGCATGTCCGATTGCATCTAAAAAGATGACCACGGCATTGTTCATTCGTGCAGCGGACTTCACGCTGCTGTGTCCAACAAGTTCACCCACTGCCAGGCTGCATTCCTCCACTGACACCGGGAAAGTCGGCGGGATCTTTATGCCGTGTTTCCTCGTGAGGTCGGTCATGTCCATGGTGGCGTTTAGCACGCCGACACGCGCTGATCGACTGCAACCACTCACAAAGACCCTAAAACCAGCTAAATGTTCACACAAACACCGTGAGATACACTATCATATCCAACGTTAACTAGTGACGAAAAAATACCGGAAAAATCAGTGTTAATTGCTCTCGAACACGCTCCATCAACTCTGCACTCCTTCCGCTCAGAGACAGAAAGAGAGACAGAGAGAGAGAGGTTTAAAGGTATCTTTATTTCTTATTAAATTCCGTTAACAGTTTATCAATAACTACAAGAAAACTAATTCATGCAACAAAAAAAAACATAATATAAATACTAAAGAAAACATAAATTGAGAACCAGAGCTTTGTCTCTGACTGAAACTAGAATGTCTTTCAGACTCCAAATGTTCACAGAGTTCAGTGTTCTTTGTCAGTCACAGGGGGTTTATACAGGGACCACCAGCAGCCCCTTGGGGAGGATTCCCTGCCAAACAACTCGGTCCACCTCGACACCCTCACTCCTTCATCGTCCCATTGGTCAGATAGTCTCTGGCAGGTCTCTTCCCTCTGGCAGGGAGGCACAGACCTCCTCCACCAGCCTGAGCAGCAGCCTGCTGGGCCGGATGTTGATCAGTGGTGTCGTCACAGCTCTTTGAGGGACTGTGAAGACCTGCCACGCCTGTAAGACGGACTGGTAGAACGGTGTCAGACCAGTTAGTACCTGCCGGTCCCTCCTGGACCGGCAGGTACAGCACCGCAGATCTCAGCCAGTGGAGCCCTGACCAGAAGAAGTCCACAACTGCCCTCTGGATGTCTTTAATCAGGCCCTGTGGTGGAGGCAGGACTAACAGTCTGTGCCAAAGGGTCGAGGCAACCAAGTCATTGACAGTTAGGACCCTGTGACAGAGAGACCGTCAAAGTCGTACTCCATCTCCTCTGCCACAACACAAGCCCCCCACTCTCCTCTGGACCAGCAGCCTGACTTTGGTCAGCTTCAGCTGTCGGCCCTTTACTGCTGCCTGCTACACTTTCCCTCATACCTTCCTCTGCTCCTGCTGTCAGTGCTTCCTCTGCTACTTCCCTTTCCTCTACCACTTTCCTTTCCTCTGTTGTGAGACTCAGAACAGCTGAGTTCTCATCAATAATTGTATCTCCGCCTGAATCAGCTCTCTGTTCCCCATCCTGACTGTCTGTCTGCCTGCAGAGCCCCTCCTCCGCTGGCTCGTCATTTAGCAGAGCTCCAGTGTGATCGAGCTCCTCCGCCGGTACGGGCCCCTGCTCGGGGTGCCCTTTGGCCGGCCTGTTAGGACAAGCGGTCCGCTTGTGCCCCACTTCCCCGCACTCAAACCACCTGATGCTACCTGTGCTAGCGTACACCATGTAGTGTCCCTCCCCGTGCTTCACCCTAAAGGAGACCTCCAGCATCTGTGAAGGACAGGTAAGGAACATGTACACCTGTCTCCTGAAGGACTGGACATGCTTCAGTTTATCACTCTTACAACCCAGACCCACAGTCCTGAAGCTGCTCGCCAGCTTCCCGAAGCGCTGCAGCTCCAACACCTGGTTGGGGATGAACGGGGAACACCGGAGACGGTGACCCGGGTGGAGGACACTGCGAGCGGGGAAACCTGCAGATACACGCCGTCCAGCGAGACGCCGCTCGATATTAACTCCGCTACAAAACGCTCCTCTTTCAGAAACACCAGCACACCTCTGTTCATCCTGGAGGCATAGCACAGGTTAGCGTGTCCCACACGGTCTCCCACCGCCAGGAGAATCGCCTCTACCGGGACACACGGGTCGGGGTGAACACGAACGCCATGCCTCAAAGACATGGACGACGTCTCAGAGGACGCCATCCCCGACAAGAAACATGGTTCTCTGTCCGCCCAAAACACCAAAATACCCCGACAAGAACCTCAAACCACCACAACTCAATCACACAGTGAACTATGGAGAGAGATTGAAGAAAAGTTTGAGAAAAATCAAACATTTAGCGACGCTCTCCACACTGCCCACCAGAGACAGAGAGAGAGACAGAGACTTAAACTTTATTATAGTCGTCATTATACATGAGGTATATATAGATGAAATACGGGTGCGGGTTCAGGTTAGGTGGGTTGTTGTGTAGAGTAAGTCTAGATAAGTACCAGCTGGTGGTCTCCTCTGTAGAAAGCCAGCTGACAGGGTCTGTTGATCAGGTTTGAGAAGCTGATGAAGACTTGAACCTCGTCCATGTTCAGGATCAACATGGCAGCCATGGAAGACATACCCTGCACCTGAGAGAGAGACAGAGACAGGTGAGAGGGTGGTGGACTCTGCTGGATCAGTCTGTGGGGGGACAGAGGAGGGTGTGTGTGTGTGTGTGTGAGACTCACATATCCCACATCAGGTTTGTAACAGGTGTAAGCTCCCAGAATGCTTTGCAACAGGTCGTGGTAAGGACCGCCCTACAAAATAAAAGTCATAATTTACTTCCTGTCTCTCCAGCCTAAAGGACATCAGGTGAAGGTTTCAGACCTTGTGGAAGACGCAGAGCGAAGACAAAGTCCTGGAGACGTCCCGAGAGATGAGCTCCAGACCGGAGGACACTCCGTCTGCAGGTAAACACGTCCAGGTGAGTCACAGGAGATCCATCAGTTTAAAGACTTCAACTAGCTTCTAGTTACCTTCAGTCTCACTGAGGCTCCTCCACTTCTCCTTCGCTCTGGACAGGAAGATCTCATACAGCTCTGAGGAAGAGGAGGAAGGTTAGGAGGAAGGTTAGGAGGAAGGTTAGGAGGAAGGTTAGGAGGAAGAGGAGAATACCTGCTGTGATGTTCAGCTCGTTGCCCACGGCGAGGCTCCAGACTCTCCCTCTGACGCTGGGAGGTAAACCCCCCCACCACAGGTCCCGAGCCCGACGACTAGACCTCCTGACACAATGACATCATCACAGATTCTCTGACATCATCACAGGCTCTCTGACATCACCTCAGACTCTCTGACATCATCACCTACATGGCGTCCCAGTTTGGCAGGATGTGCTGGTTCCAGACCAGCGAGGTGTTGGAGATCTCCTCCTCCTGTCTGAGCTGCTCCTCCTTCTGCTGCTGCCTCCTCTGAGCCTCCTTCAGCTCTAACGGGAGACAAACAGGAAGTGACTGAAAATAAGTGACAACATATACTCTGTTAAGCTCCACTCGTGTGGGAGGTGCAGCAGGTTAAATCAAACACACCTCTCCTCTTAGCTCCGGCCACCATCTGCTCGTACTGCTGTCTGTGTCTCTGGGTCTCCTCTGCTGACTTGGCTGGAAGGTTCCTGCACACAGACACACTGTTAGGACACAAAATGGCTGCCAGTTTA